ATTTAGCTAATAAATATATTAGATCTATAATACAATAACACAGTGATTTCCATTACTGATTATTAATTAGTTTATATTTTTTAAGTCACTAAAGGAAATTTCTTTACTAAAAAATCGATCTTCAATCTAATAATGTTTTAGTTCTACGGAACTTCTACAGTATTCACACAGTGAGTATTATTTTATCCCAACACGTGGAAGCCTTAAAGAAATACAAGTCATGCCATTGTAAAGCGTATACAGCGATTTTTATTGGTGTAACTATCTGTTTTATACACGATAGTCTTATGAAATAAATTATTTAATTTTCTATTCAGTTACACCCGATTACCACGGGTACACAATAAATTATCTTTAGAATAGTATTACAAATAATAAATGAATGATTTTTAAAAATAACCGTATTTGAGTGTGACGAGAATTCAATGTACTACACTTATGAATAGCTTAATCATTTATCGTGTTAGTTTTTTGTTTGTCATGTCTACTGTGTACATCAACTGTGTACAATATACTATGTATATATCAACAATTAATTATAATGATAAACTTGTTGATAAACTATAAATTTTTAGAAGACATAAATATTGTTGTTATTATACGTGAAATTTTCGTAAAATTTTTTTTAAGAAGTTATAACATCACTAACACAATATTATGTTTGAGATGTTATTAGCTAGATTCATATGGATCTAGATAATAAGATAATTATTATTTCAAGAACTTTTTTATTTTGTTTACTCGTCCTTCTAAAAATAATTAAATATACTACATTATGTATAAATATGTTACGATCAGTGTAATATAACGGCAGTATGATACATTAATTGGGCATTATATGTTTAATACCAAATTATACAGCCCGCAAATTTTGGCCTATGTAGAATATTTACTTATTTGGATTACTTTAACCAGTCAATATGGTGTTGACCCGGTAAAATTGGGCCAAATAGGAAAATCATTGGTATCAATATAATAGTAATACTATCAGATATTTTAATATAGCTTAATAATAAATGCCTTGAATATGAATTGCTGATTTATAGTATTTCCAAGTGACCACAATTTGCAAAAAAATTTTGTTTTAATTAAGTAGTTTTAAAATACATTTTCATAGATATGTTTTAATTGTGCATTAGTAATTAATTTAATTTTTCATTGTTTTGAATATTAACTTAAATCCTAACCTAACTTATTTTTAGATTAATATTTTTTTGTATTTGTAGCATCACTAGGGCATAAGAATTATGTTATATAGTCATATATTTCTTTTAGTCGGATGGATTTGACCCCTTTGTATTTCCCTGTTATAAACCAACTAACTTGTTATAAGTAAGTTTCGGGAATATTTTGGTGCTGATTAGTTGATCTATTATTCGATTATTCAAAGTAGACTAATGTTTCTTAGATATGTTTTTGCTGGTGTTACTAAGGTTACGATTTTTTTGGTGATAATATGGGTTCTTTTATAATTTGCGCTTGAGCTATCTATATAAAGCCAACCTCTAGAAAAAGATCTTTAGGGCATTCATCGTTTCCACCACATCCAAATAAGGTCGGTCTATCGTTTCCGCCAAACCGATAGTTTATACCTGTCTACAAATAAAAGCTTAAGAATCACTGCTTAAAATATTTGTCAAAATAACCCGATAATGATTATCTACTTTTCATTAAAATCAAACTTTTTCCTATTCTATTATTGTTCGATAGCAGTACATCAATAATCGTTATATCGAAAAATATTTTATCATCGATTCTTTTTTATTTTTAGTAGATAGAGAGATAGAAAATTATTTTATATTAGTCCATACATTTTTTAATGTGGTAGTTATCGAAAAATCTTTTGTTTCTTACCATTTTATTATGCTATCTTATTTGTCATATCTTAGTCAATAAAAATTGGTTTATGTGATAGTATAAAAAAATTAAGACTACTTCATTTAAAACAGTGAAATAAGCATAGGATTAATCGAATATAAAAATAAATTTTTAAAAAGTTTTTAAGAAAATGTTAGTCTTACCTAATTTTTATCACTCTGAATGCTTAATATAAGTTAGATATATTTTATCGGGTCGATCTTATCTGATTATAAAAGGAAATAAAGATGTGAGATACGAATCTTTGTTCAATTTTTCGTTTCCCTTATTGTAAACATAAGACCGAGATGTTCTATTGACTTTTCGTCAACAATTATTAATAGAAACCTGTCATTATATTTATTTAATTTGTTTTAATTTTATGTTATGTAACTAGTGTAACTAAATAACGTTATAGCGATAGTAATTTTTGAGATCAATTCTACCGATAAGTCATTTTTGTATCATATAATTATTTATTTACACCAACAAAACTATATAAAAACGTTATCGTAAAGAACCAAATATTAAAATATTTTATCATTTTTATTTAAAAAATATTACTTTTATTGAAAAATAATCATATTTAGTTGACCTTACCAAATCATACAACTATATGTCACAAGAACATAATCTTTTGACATATCGTTGTGCAAAATTGATCATGGAGGACATTTGTAAACGAGCCGCACTTTTGAAGCTCTGAATTCAATATAGACTTCAGAATTTTCTTGTCCAAATTATTTCTCTTAACTATCCGCGACCCCGTGTTGTCGTCGGCATATTTTTATGCTTTTTATAAGTTCGTCATTTGTGTTAAAAATTATATAATTTTATAAGAAATTTCTTTGACTTCTTCACTGGCATAAATATTAGTTAATTGAAGCGAGATTTTGAATTAGACATTTCTACGCATTCTGAATCAGTATTCAAAGTGACTTCAAATCAACAAGTATTAATTTAAATACAAAGTAAGCCAATTTTATTTATCCAAATTATTAGAATTAAAAATCTAAAGCAATAAATTAATATTCTCTTTAGTAATTTTACTTTTTTGTTCGCACTTTATATATATATATATATATATATGAAGAGTGAATGTATCAAACGTTCTATGTGCCAAAAAAATATTTGTTCAGAAAACACAAAAAACATCACAAATTAAAAATTTTCTTATAATTTTGTATAAAAATATATGTTATGCTATATTTACACTATATTAATAGCCTCGTAAATTTCTATTATTTTATTTTGTCATTTCATATTAGTATAAATTAAACATTTGCTAATGACAGTTCCAAGTGCCAAGTATTATAATATTAAAGTTCCAAGTTCCAAATAATGTGATAATATTATCGTTCCAAGTACCAATATTTTATTATAGATAACAGAAAATCATTCTTTATTTTATTAAGACTTCATATATATTTTTATAAAATATGTAAAAAAATCAACACTTTTTTTGAGTATCACAAATTGAAAAATAAATGTACAAACTTAAATAAAAAATACTCTTAATCTAACATGACATTGTCAGTAAATCTCAAAACGTAAAATAAAATTTTTTCTTCATATAAAAATGTAACAAGAAAAGAAAACAGTAGCTTTTTTGAGTATCACAAATTGAAAAATAAATTAACAAACCTAATAATAATTTAAAAAAAACTCTAGATTAAACATAATTAGAACATAGCAACATCATAATAAATAGCAAAAAAAATTAATCCATGACGTTATATTTTTATAGAAGTTTCTGTGCTTATCAGGTAAAAAAGGAATCATGGCCAACAAATCTTTTTTCTTCTCTGACGACAATGTGGGTTTCGGTATAGGTATAAATGTCTGATTTTTAAGTTGGTCTATAGTAGCATTTCTTTTAAAAACGTTAAAATCTTTCCAAAGTTCTTCATCTGAAAATGTTTTTTTATAATAGATTTTTTTGGGAGTTAAAAATGAAACTTTAATCATCGAACATTGGAAACTTGGTTNAATGTTTTTTTATAATAGATTTTTTTGGGAGTTAGAGATGAAACTTTAATCATCGAACATATAGAAATTGGAAACTTGGTTGTGTTAAGAAAATTGTTAGCAATGTCTTTAAATGAGAAAAAGTTGTTTTCATCCATTGGAATAACTCGAAATGGATTTGTCAACTTCGCTGCTCTAACCATTTCTTGTAAATCAGAAGGAGTGAAATTTTGAAAAACTCTACGTTTCTTTTCGATAATAGCAAAATCACGATCACAATCCAAGAAAGAGTGGCCACTTATCAAAAATTTTTGTATAATCTCATCAAATATCCCCATATTTATTAAATATAACATCAAAACTACTAACGTTTTATTTTTATTTTGGCCAGCACAGTTGTCTTACCATATAATTAGTTTTTTGCGATTTATCGTATTTTCGTTTTTGTTAATAACTTGAAAAAGANCGTAAAATATGGATACTTTCAGTATCCATAATAACACAACTAAGCAAATAAAAAGAAAACTTAACGAGTACAATAACACCAGTATTATTTGTTATCATCAAACTATTATATTCGCCCAAGGCACTTAGAACGTACAGGTAACAATGGGCATGTCTCACAGAACAAATACAATCTATGAACGCAATTTTGTACAAGTAAAAAATTTAATTGACACTTGAAACACATACAAGATTGTGACCTTATTGGCACATAGAACATAAATCAGAAATAAAACAATTTTTCACTTTTTTGGCACATAGAACGTTTGACACATTCACTCTTCATATATACATATTACAGGGTCTCGAGGGTCGAATTACCTCCCCGTGTCTAAAAATAGTGTAAAAACTAATGTGTAACTGACTGTATTAATAGACACTTCAACTGGATATTTGAGAGTCAAATTATCACCTACCATTAATTGGTCTTTATTCCTCAATAAAAGGGATCTACATTTGTTTCTTTATATCTACTTGTTTTTATTGTTCTAAGCTTTCGGACTCTACGATCCAACAAAGATACATATATCATATTTTAATAAACGAGTAGCAACCCAAAATAAATCCATTATTGTGCTAACTTACCCCCAATAACTCTTTATTTACATTTATTATAAGTTATTACATACAATAATTGGAAATTAATAATAATGCAATTACTAGAAACATACCTTTCAGTCCAGCAAATCGACTCTTCCCGATACCTAGAAAATAAATTGTAAATCAATATTAATTGAAGGAAATTTTGTGATATCTGATTAACTAAAAAATCTTAAAGATTATTATTTTTTAAATCCGTTTCAAGTATATTTGTGATTATTCTATTGATTATATTGTGATACAGTAATAACCCATTCAATATTTTATTAAAAAGTAATCTATGTCATTTCTGTTTTTTTATTCATTTTAGCAATAAATAATTTATACATGATAAAATTCAATTTGAATAGAAAAGTAAATGAATATAATAAACAAACTTCGTAAATTATGTATACAGATGATCGGTTTATCATAAACCACTCGATTACTTTCAAAATAAATACAATATTGGAAAAATATTTTCGATTTCTTTTAGTTACATTGATTTATTAGTGAATAATACTAATAATAATAATAATTACCTTTTAAAATCATCCCTTTATAAAGAATTATTCTTTTATCACAAACCACTTATTTAATCAAAAAATAAAAATTATACTAATATTTTTTTATTATTATTTATTTTGTTTTAGTTACGTACTTTTCTCAATTTATCTATCCTGAAGTATTTTTTATGTTCATCCTTTAAATCTATAAGAATGTCAAATTTAATTTTTCAAATAGCAACATTATTTATTAAATAGCGTATTCATTAGATAATGTATTATCATAATGATAATCTAGTTAGAAAATGACAAGTCGATAACAACTGTTGGACCATTATTTCAGAAATTATTAACGTTTTTTTTATACCTACACGGGAAGATAGTGATGCCGAGAAATCTATAGTGATAAAAATAGCAGCATCTGCACCTCAACTTCTGTCATTACTTAAAATTGTTAACAGCTTCTGAAATACTGGTTTAGAATTAAAGTCGGCACAGTAGCAATGAAACGAGTTACCAAATACAGATCGTTAATGATATATTATGTTATTGACCGTTCATTTTATACAAATTAATACAACTTTAATGAGTTTTACAATATTTCTGACAGTATATCTCAATATTTATTAACAAATAATTATTCTTCGCTAGGTAGGAAATTTATAAACATTTTTAAAAATAAAAAAATAATTACTAAATTAATAATGTTATACATATTTCATTTCAGTAATAATTCAAGCGCCAATAATTTAAATGGAAACAAATTACACATATATATATATATATAACCAATACTTTATGTATAAATATTCTGTTATTTCAATCCATTTTTGATAAGCATAAATGTTTAATCCGTAAAATAAATACAAAAAAATCAAAGTTTTACAATTTTTAAAATATTGCTACTAATTTATTTCTTATAATTTGCTCTATAAAATAGTTATCTTGATTTTTTTTAACATTTAAAATTATTTATTTTTTTTTTATATAAATCACAAGTATTTTTTCGTGTTATAATTTTAAGTTTTTAAAAAGTACTATAACAAAAAGTATCTATTGGATCAAAATTTGTAAGATTTGTCAGAAAATCTACATAAATATATGTTTATATTAATATAGACACCCCAAGTGAGAATTATGATTGGAACTTTATTTTTTATTTTCAAAACATCAGCGTACATTTTTGATAATATTAAAAATCACAGGTACTTTAAAACACTTGCCACCGTTAAAGTCATAGTAGTTGGTGACAAAAACGGTGACGTAAACACATGTCGCACTGTGTATGACTACATATATGAAACAAATATTTTAATAATAATAGCTTATCCATTTATGCCTGCGAGTTTCAAGGGTGTTATCCACAACACATCCCCTATGAAGGAACATTTTAAACTCATAATATATGAGTCGTATACCATATATATATATCTCTCTCAAAAAATCTGGTAGGTAAATGACATTCACGAAAAAACCGTACAAATTATTTTTATAATTATATGTCGATGGTAATCTTAACACCGAAAATTTACAAGTGTATAATGTAACGAATAATTCTTTTTTATCAATGTTCATCGTATATAAGAAATTTCAGTTTTAACTGTGATGAACTTATATAAAAAATGTTTTATTATTTTTGTTACAATTAAAGTAAACTATATGGGCAAATAGCAAAATGTAAATAAAAAAATAGTTTTACACCACGAAATAGTTAACACATTTTATTGTGATAGGGACTAAAATAGTTCATACTGATTAATTATTGAAAATTCGTCATTTTAAAAATATAACGGGTAAAGTAAAAACAAATTTGTTTATTCATTTACTCACTTGGCATGGATATTTTAATTAGAACACCTTAGATTCTATATTTTGCATCATTTTTTCCTTCTTACAACAGCCCCTGAAACAATTTAATTTTATCATAGACTTGCAAAAACTTTAATAAAAGACACCAATACTATAACCAGATTTGTCTGCTTTTTTGAAAATATACTTTCACGCAAGATACAATGAGACAGAACCTGCTTATGCCTAAATGCAAAAAACCAACTAGTCCGTTTTAATTTCTAGTCTATAATAATACAAAAACTAAATCACTGAATGAATTGTTAGAAATTATTAAGTGAGTGAATTAATTATTACGGATAAGCTTATATGCATATTTTTATATTAGATAAATTATTATTTATATCTGCAACTAACTTCTAATTATTATAAGATATTATTGAAAAGTAAGAATAAGTAGTCAACTTTGTATTTGGGCTTTTTTTTGGTATAACATTCTTATGTTAAAGTCGCCGAGAAATTGTTTTTTAATTCTAGATCTTTTAATTGGTATATTTTTTGATACATCTAATTCGAATAACAACGAATAATGCATTTTTGATTTTTTATGTATGAAATATATATATATTTATATATTTTGATAGTTTTTAACGTAAAATAATTTGATGTAGATCTAAATAAATATTGTAAACATTTATTCTATTTACGAATGAACACAAAATAAGACTTATTTCGCTATAAAGTTTGCTACTCAAATATTTTTTATTTTATGTTTAACAAGAAAATATAGGTTGGAATAGCTTATTAAAAATAATTTAGTGAGGGATAAGATTTAAAATAAGCTCAACGTTCCTTCTGTTTTATAACTTTCCGATCACTTTAAGTGTATGAAACTTCTGAATCACCTCAATTCCTTAGAGACTTTTCAACGAAAGGAAAGAAGGCCCTAGAGTCATTTTTTTTTTGGATTTAAAAATTAATCCCATTACAGTGGAGACTGTTTGTTCTAGCTATATGTTCGTGCTATATATTCACTGAGTAAATAACATAGCTCTTCCAGCAGTGTCAGTTTAATATATTCATGTGGTTTTTCTTTCATAAGCACCTAAGATATTTTCATAATACGCGTGAAGCTTCTTCGCTGCAATGTCTCATAAAAGTGATTTGCATTACAGAAGAAAACAATCTGAAGTAAATCCGATGACAACGATGATGCCAAGCATGGGGCGAATATTTCGCTTTGCCACCCACTAGTTCGTAAGAACTCAAAAAAGAATGCAATATCGTTAAAAAAACCAAAATATTTTTATTTTATTTATATACAGAGTGATTTATTAATAGTACTTCCACTCATTTTTTCATTAAATAATAATTTTTTAATAGGAACATATAGATTAAAATTTATATGGAAACTTATTATTTTTTATTATTAAATGGAAAATGATCTAATTAACATTTTTACTAATCAATAACCAGTACTAAGTTATCATTATAAAAGCTATAATTATTTTTATTTATAGGCCAGTAGGGTGCGCAACGTAGTATTGTTATCTATGCGTCATGGTAAAAATGAGCACCACTAAACACTACCACACTTCACACCTTTTATAAATCTTCAAATGCTGATATCAAAAGTAATAATACAAAACTAGTCAAAATTTTATCCAGAATATTCTCTATAAAATACTAATAAGTCATGGAATAAAGTTAGCCCTTTTACAGTAATCAATTATTTTAAATGATCGGAATTCGCTTCAGATATTTAAAAACCAGACCATGACAAGTCAGTGGCAGCATCAATAGTTTGAAAATCTCTGCACGTAAATATAAATTTTAATGATTTTATTAATTATGACATAAATTTTGTTGTATCGGGGAAGCTTATAATACTGAAATCTGGGTAACATTTGATAACAGAAATAGAGATATAGATAATGATGATGAGTCCCTTACCCTTATAGTAATAAAAAAAGCATGTTTATTATTCGATTAAGTACAAAATTTTATTCTTTAGTCATAGATTGGAACCGAGATTTATGATACTCTATTTATTAGTGAATAAAATTAACTCAACATGAAGATCTATTTTTGTTTTTATAGAAAATAAATATTTATGTGATTTATTTCAGTCCATACTTTAATTTAAAACCTAGAATTTTTTTTCATATATATATAAATTGACAAAACAATTGTTAGATAAATAAATTTATCTATTATAAAGACATAAACTACTACATAATTACTATAAAATTTCTTTAACCCTTAATGATTGATCTCTTGATAATTCAAATTTGTTTTCTAGCCCCTACAATTAGTACATACAAATATTATAAAATAGCAATGTAACTAAATGTCATAAATTTTTTAAAAAATACCTTTTTATTAGATATTTTCAAAAATTTAATCTACATTATTTTATTGATAAAATATGACATTAGTGGATGAAGTAAATATACATTGTGTATATTTATAGGGTATTTCATTATTTCTTCTATATCAGATTTCAGGTTGTCAATTATGATTAAAATGATGAGTGCATATATCTGAAAAATAAATAGTTTCAATAAAAAATAAAGTTGTAATTAATATTGTTAGAGTAGAAGGCCACATGTAAATTTTTTTTGTTTTTCAGATTCCTGGAAATTTTTTAAAAATCAATTTGTTTAATACTAAAATTAAATTAGTTTTTAATTAAAAACTAATTTAATAGCATTTTCGTTATGTTAATGTTTCAAAGCTACTTATACTTTTTTTTTTTTAATAAAAAGGCCTATAAATCGTTGAATTTATTGTATAAACTGTAATTTTTGTTAAAAAAAAAACGTTCTCAA